CGATCGATAAGTTTAAAGCGCGCTGGGTCGTGCGCGGCTTCGATCAAGAGCACGGACGAGATTTGACCGAAACATTCGCGCCAGTTAGCCGACACACCTCACTGCGGATTCTCCTCGCGATAGCTGCCATGAAGCGGAAGAAGCTCCGCCAAATCGACGTCGCCAACGCTTTTCTGTATGCTCCCGTCGACACTGAGATCTTTGTCGAACAACCACACGGATTCAACGCAGACCCCAATCAAGTCTGTCAGCTGGAAAAATCACTGTACGGCATCAAGCAAGCCCCGAGACTGTGGCAGCAACATCTTCACACCCGACTAATCCGCATCGGATTCTGCCAACTACCGCACGACCAAGGGATGTATCGTCTTACGAAGGGTACCGACTACATCTTACTCATAGTCTATGTGGACGACCTACTCTACATCGGCTCTACCGACGACGTCACGACCTGGTTTGAAGGGGAGCTACAGCGGGACCTCACACTCACCGTCTCGTCTACCGTGACACAATACCTAGGACTCAACATACAAGACGGGGAAAACGCAATCTACCTCAGCACCGCGAAATACTCCGACACCATCGCCAAACGTTTCAGACTAACTCCAGCTACCATCACCACGCCATATCGCTACACCGACGAAAATCGCAAGGAAGCCTCCGCCCTACTCAAACCCGCCGGCATTCGCGACTACCAATGAAAGCTAGGCTGTCTACTCTTCGCAGCCATTACCTGCCGACCAGATCTATCTTACTCAGCTAGTCAACTCGCCACCCATCTCAAGAAACCTGAAGCAGATCACATGACGGAGCTCGACTGTGCACTTCACTACCTCGTCATCACCCCGACAATCGGCCTAACCTACCACAAGACTGGAACTACGACGCCCAAACTAATCGGCTATGTGGATGCTGACCACGCCGGCGACTCAGACAACAGGCGATCGCGCACCGGCTACATCTACCGACTCGAACCTATCGGCCCTATCTCATGGCAGTCGAGCAAGCAAGAGCTAATTGCTCTCTCCTCAGCTGAAGCAGAATATATCGCACTCTGCTCAGCCACCAAGGAAGGATTATACCTTCGCGAACTAGTGGAAGAAGCAAAGCTGGCTAAGTTACCCAGCTTCTCCCTGTTCTGCGACAACCAATCGGCCATTCGCATAGCGAACAAGAACGGGTTTGCGAATCGAACAAAGCACATCGCCCTCCGGTATTTCTTCGTAAAAGACGAAATCGAGAAGGGGAGACTGAGCTATCCTACTGTCCCACATCCGAGATGGCAACCGATTACTTGACCAAGAACTCGGAAAGCAGAAGTTCGAGTACTGCATGCTGCTGACTGGACAAGGAGACGTCATCAGAAGCGAAGGGGAGTGTTGGAAACAAGTAATTTAACGCTCCTGTTGTGTCGAAACAATAAGACTACAAACGAGGCGAATCACAGCGGAGCAACGGCGAGTCAACCGAGGAGGTTGACAGAAAGTAACAGCTGGAGGTTACGCGAAGGTCAAAGGTCAGCGACCTTTGACTCGACGAAATACAGCGCGACAGCAAGGACAAACAACTGACTCGGTATTGAGCAGTTGCCCGAGTCGTCACTGTATCGAACCGCAACAGCAAAAAACAGTTAATCGCACCTCTTCGTATTCCTTGTAATCATATATATATTCTTGTATCTCTTTGCTTTTATCAATTCATCATGCTCTCACATACTAGTGCAAGGTGGTTCAACAGCGTTCAACAGCTCAACAAGTTTTACTATACGCTTCCGCAACTACAACATTCCTAAGGTCTTAGCCTTGAAAAGATCCTAAGGGCTTTTCTCAGCCCAACACATTGTAATGAGGTACTGGTAAGTCCATTCATATGAGTGATACTGTATGGTGTTGCACCCTGCCAATAGTCTCTGATTGTTAGGCACCCGAGAACTAGCCTACAGGACACGGTGTATGGAAACGACTTATGAAGCGTATGTTAGGGACCTGCCTCAAGAGATGTTAGGCACCTGAGAACCAGCCTACAGGACACAGGTGTATGGAATTAGCAGGCCCTGCCATTACTCAGAGATCCAAGCAGCACAAACAAGCCTTTTCAATGTGGCGTGGATCTTAGAAACACTCTAACAAATCATTGTACTTTTCCTCTGCTACCCCTGACTTGTGAGTCGACTCAAAAGTCAGCTCTTGAAAACACTCTAACAAATCATTGTAGTTTTCCTTTGCTACCACTGCTATCCCCCTTATAGAAATTTCCCATATGCTATCCAGGGCCTATTTTATCAGTGTAAATCACACTGCTATACTGATGAGAAGGGTGTTTTTTTGTGCTTGCACTGGTGTGTTTGGGTAATTGTTTTGGGGATTAGTGTTACACTGATTTGACAGTGAAACGATTTAGGCCACACTGATGCTCTGGGGTAAATTTTCCCTTAGCGAAGATTACCCTTAAGGGCGTACAGGGCACCCCCCCCCCTCCCCCCCCCCCCCACTCCCGAAATCTGTCGGAGTGTGATTTCCGTCAATCACGCAAGTACCGTAGCAGCCTTCCCTGCTGTTAGTGTGTTGGCGACAGTCATGTGTCTAATTGGTCACGTTTTTATGTTTCGGTTCAGTATCCAGCACGCCAAGGAAAGGAATCTTGGCATCACGTATAGTGATGCTGCCTGAACTTAGTCAATATGTATTTGCGATAAGGGTACACAAAAATACTACACTTGCTCTGGGGTAAAATTTCTGAAACTCAATGTTACACTGATGTATCAGTGTAACGAAAATTTACACACTGATCAGAAGGGTTTTGAAAAAGGCTACACTGCTAATCGTGAGTAGCAAAAACCAAACATAGGCCCTGCTGCTATCCCTTCCCTACGTGGCAAGTGCAGCTCTACGTTATTTAACCCTGCCGAGAAGCTTTGCCGTACTTTGGAATTTCCGTCTGATTTCCACCAGTTATTCTTTCTGATGCCGCACAGCTGCTGTCACGGTTGCATGAATGGGTGGCATGGAGGGGGCTTTTGAGGCGCCTCAAAAGGTTGAAGCTTCTATTCAGTCCTCTACCCGTTGAAGCTCCAATGCTGTTCTCCATCCGTTGAGGCTTCCTTTCGGTTCTCCACTCCACCCGTTATTCTTTGTGATGAGTTGCACAGCTGCTTGACTTGTCAATGGTGGACAGGTGGGCTGCGCAGGCCTTATGTCCATCAACAAGACGACAGGCGATGTCGCACGGCTGCTGAAACAGCTTCTTGAAGGAGTGGCCTGGAGGAGACTTGTTTCATGCCTTCTCCCCTTCCTGGATGATTGTGAGGAGAATTTCAGCAGAAGGGGCGAGGAAAGTGTTGCAAGGACCTTGTGCTGGGGCAGAAGTAATGCCTCCGCAGCCCACCTGTCCTCTTTTGACGCCTCCTTATCATTCCTTGATTCCCAGAACCACCCATCAAATAACACTGACATTTCCTTCCCATCCCTCGTCTCCCTCCATTTTCCTCATGTCCTCCCCCACTCGCAATTCAGCTATGCCTTTATTCCAGGAAACGGCACCTCAAGCCCATAGTTGGGGAGTGCCAAAGCTGGTAGCAACCAGAACTGTTTTGCAAACCGCATCCCTCCTCCTCATCACTCCCATCCCTTTCACTTCCTCTCCTCATCCGTGACCTTCATCCCCCTCCACTCCTCCATATCCTCCTCCATCACTCCCCCTCATCCCTCCATTTCTTTGTTAGGCCAGGATAAAGGCACCTCAATACCCGTGGGGGGTCACAAAACTGGAGGGAAAAAACTAAGGCTTAACAAAATACCGCCCTCCTCCTCATCCCGCACCCCGCATCCACATCCCTCATCCCTCATCCCCCACCTGCATCCTTCATTCCCCCAAATGCTCTCACTCATCAAGGATTTTCCACCTCACTACCCAGGCGGCGAAGCCTTCAGAAATCCCTGCTCTCTCTCCTTCACCCACTCCCCTCATCCATCATTTCTCATCCCTCATCCCCCATCCTTCGTTTTTCTCATTGACCTCGCTCATCCTTCCTTCCACCTCACTACCCAGGCAGCAAACTCTCAGCAAATCCTGCTCTCTCCCCTCCCCTCCTCCTTCCCCTCCTCATCTTTCCCCATCACCCCCATGCTCCCTCCTCATCATCCATCTCTGCGAGCATTCCAGGAAAAGGCACCTCAATGACCAGCCAGCAAGTCCTTTAACATTCCTGCTCCTTCCCCTCATTCTCATCCCTCAAATGCTTTCCTCAACCCCTTGCGTCCCCCCCCCTTCTCACCCCCCATATCCTCCATCATCCCGCTCGTATCATGCAGCTCTGCCAGCATCCCACAGGAACACTCCTCAATTCCTGAGACTTCTCAAAAGTCAGCGCTGCCAGCATTAAAACACTACTTTTTTGAGGAGGAACGCTCCTGAGACGTCTCAAAACACTACTTCTGTCAACGCTGCCAGCATCCCACATGAGGAGGAACGCTCCTCAATGACTGACCAGGCTGCAAGTCATTAACACAATTCCTTCTCTCCTACCCCTACTCCTACTCCTACTCCCCACACCCTTCTCCTACTCCCCCTCATCGCTCCCCCTCATCCCTCCTCCTCACCCCCCTGCTTCCCCCCCATATCCTCCAGCATCTCCCCATCAGCATTCATCTCGGCCAGCATGCTAGGGGAAG